CTGTTTCTAATAAAAAAGGATATTTGTTTGTTTCTAAATTTTTTTTATTAGAAACTTAGAAACAAAATAAATTTTAACTTTTTTTTATAAGTCTTCGCTAATATGGTTGCAGGTTTTTCTTAACTTTAACTAAGTAAACTTAAGAAACCTGTATTACTTTTGATGATGGCAAATTAATTTCATTTTGCATTTATTTGTGTTTTTTTTATATATATTTGTTTTGAGATTTTTTTTTTAATTTTTCGAGTAAGATTTATTAGTCATCTATTAAGTTTTTTTATTTTATTGTTAACTTTAGAGCAGTAAATAAAAGAAATAATTAGTGTTGCTTTGATAAATATGTTTAATAAAAATGATGACATTGTAATGGATGATTAATTGCAAAGTTAATTGTTGCCGAAATGTAAAAAGAACTGTTGGATAAGGACAAATGTATACTATAACAAGAAGTAATGCAATTCCAGATTATAATTATTTAGGAGAAATGAATCAAATTTGTCAGCACTGTGATGCTAAAAAATTTCCAGATGAAACACATTTTCTATATTTCCATAATGGTATAGTAGCTTTGTCCCTACTTTCACCATTTACACAAGCTTTACAGGATTTATTTACAGGGAGTTAAGTAGATCGTAATGCTAATGTCAATTTTTTAAAACATATTCGAAATTATAATGCCTGTCTTTCTTTCACTTCTTTTAAAGCAGATGTAGTTCAACCAATAAATCATGGACCTCCATGTTTTAAAATATGTTGCAAGATATATGATCATGTAGGTAATCTTAGGCCAGACCAAGATATTCCATCAAAATATTCTCAACTATATATTTATGATCCACTTGCAGCATAAATTTTAGAATGCAACAACGTGGTAATGATCTTTGTTTATGTGATTTAATGTTTCAATTGCAAACTATACTTACGGAACAAAGTCCATTTGCTCTTGCATTTAAAAACATGGCTGAAGTAGAAGATGAAGAAATTCGTTGCAACGGTAGTATAATCATTGGTAGTTTAATGATAAAAGATGTATAATATTAGGTTTGAAGAAGTTATTAGTGTAAATGGTAATAGGCGACTTAAAAAATATTGTTGTCAAATAAAAGAGATAGATCTAGGCATGATAAAATCAATTGTCATTGAGTTATAAAAAAAATTTTGCTCGATGAACAGAAAACTTACTTTCCAGAATTCAGTGTCAAGCGGTGTTGAAATTTATTAATTTGATTTTACATTAGACACTTTAGAATAAAGCAAAGTATGAATTTTACTATTTGAGATTAAAAAAGAAAATTACTATTTGAGATTACAAAAGAAAAAAATAAAATCATTTAAATTTGAAACTGTTATTAATTGTTACTAATAAATAGTAACAATTAATAACAGTTTCAATTTTTTTTTTTTTTTTTTTCTAGTTGCCTTTGTCATCACTTGATTACTGTTGAAACATGGTCTTAATTTTGTAAATTTAATATGATATGAAATTTACTATATTAATCATTAGTCAACAGATAGAGAGAAGCTGGAACTTAATTAAGAAATGCTGGAAATTAACTTTTAGTTAAGGTAAAATTAATTTTGTTTATTGGTAGCATAATAAAACCAGTTATTGTTATTTATTGCATATCTTTTTTACTTTTTTAACATGCTGCTTTTGAAACACTTCCTCGTTCTCTCTTAGATGTCTATAAACAACTTATTCCTAATTTTAGAACTAAAACTTCTTTTTTTGTAGTTTAAAATTTCTCATTGAATTAGTACGAGAAGAATTGATAAAACTCATGTAACTACTGAGCTCTTGCGTATTTTTTAATACTACAAATGATAATGACCATTCATAAGATATATTTTACTAGTTGCTTGCTATTTAAAGAAATAATTATTTAAATTGTTTAACTATAATTGTCCCTTGGTTGTTCAAATATTGTAATAAATAAAATCTTTTTAGTTTCAAGTATTTTCCATTAGGGATCGTCTATATATTATGTAACGCAAAATTAAACTTATAGACAAAAGACATATCTCAAAAACCATGTTTCTCTCATGGTCAACTATATGTTACATGTTCAAGAACTAGAGCATTTAATAGTTTGTTTTTCAAAATTGATAAACTATTGTATTCAAGGTATGGTAGGTGAAAAGTGTTACACAAATAATGTTATATTTTCTAATGTTCTTAATTTATAGTCTTTAGATTTTCATTTCAAAATTTACTGTTGAAGGTTGTGAGCACATTTTGTATGTATAACTTTATTTATTATTATTATCATTATTTTTTCATAGTTTTTATAAATATGTCTATCATTTAATATAATTATAAAATGTGTTTATATGTGTTATATAAAGTCATATTTGTTTATAGTTGTATATATGTTTAAATTATGTTGTTTCCATGATTTCAAAGTGTGTGACTTGGTGTTATGTTGAGCAAGTTTGATAACCTTTCCAGCCATACGGTGGTTTTATAGCAGATGTTTTACTTGGCAGCATTTAGTGCCAGGCAGTGTTACTGCTTTAGAGCTAGGTTGTGTTGTCTAGCCTTTTTTAATTATTCTGGAAACACATAAAAATGTCTGTTAATGTTTAGCGTAATGTGTGTGAGAGAGTATGCAACCTTAATTTTGAAATCTAGGGTGCTTTAATGTTCCAAATTTGAAATAATTGAATAACTAATATTAAATATAAAAACAAATATACTTTATTAAAGTTTAGTAAAAAGATAAATATAGTTAACTCTAAATTGGTTTTTTAATTTTGCCTTTCATATTTTAATTTAGTTTTTTATTTTCACTGAATTTTATTATGTGTTATTGTTGTGATGTTTTGTGTTGATAGACAGTGTGGCTTACCTTCCCGTGTCTATTGTTAAAAATAGAATAATAGGTAGTTTCATTATTGTAACTTACTGCTTTTATTTATTTACTAAAAGCCAAGACAACATCTTGCTAAAAATGCAATTTATATCTTAGTTTAATTTTTTTTTTCAGTATTGTTAAACCTTTTGTACTACAAAACAGATTTTATAGTTACATTTTATTAACTGCAATTCTAAAATAGGTTACTATAAATAGGTTTATATAAATAACAAACTTTCTTTTATTTTACCTCTTGTGTAAATAAAATGTGGCTGGATCTGAAAAATAGCAGATTTTTGGAAAAGTTAACTTCAGTCAATTTTTTGAAGTAAAATATCTTTTGATTTTATTTAAATCATACAGATTTATTGCAAAAAACTTTAGCTAACAAGAAACTTTAGCATTTTGTGCTTAACTAAAGGCAAAATCAAAATGGTATTAAAACTTTAACTAATCCTGAATTCTGATTTTGTTCATAACTAACAGGATCTCATAACTGGTTGATTTCATCATAAAGAGAACACTGTTCCATCTTGTGCAAACTTCCTGTTTCAGAGTTTTATGCTGCCATTTTACAAAATATCCTTAAATTCCTTTTTACAATCTAAATTGTTTATTTCATCATAAATTTTTATTGAAAACTGCTGTTCTAAACCTTAAATATTTTTTCATTTCAATGACAAATTGAAGTTTGTTTAACAATTTTATATCTGTTTCAAGATGTGATTATTCTAAAAGTAAACTTGAGTTAAAGTTCAGGTATGTTACAACTCTTCTGCATTTTTCAGTTCAATCACTTATGCCATCACATTTCAATATTAAATGCAAGATATGAGCCAAACAATGTTGTGGACCCCATGTACCCTGAGTATTTGGCATTTATTAATCATCCCAGAACCACAAAGCCAAGTTGCTTCACAATGGAAACAACAACCTTCCCATTCAGATGGCTTACTTTATCTAAATGAGGTCTATACCAGTATCAAGCTGTTGCTGAGTCCCTTGAAGTATGACAACTACAATTGGGGAGGTCATCAGAGACTTCAAAATATCATTACTCAAGGGTTTTCAAAAGGGTCTCATGAATTTTTTTTTTTTGCCTCTGGGACAGCCATAAAACAAGGCGCACTACCACAGAAATACTGACTACAACTGATGTCAAGAACTAGATCTGTAGGCTTAAGTGGGAGCCATTTATAGAACCTCAGAATGTGTTTTTGCCATTATTGCATATCAAGTTAGGCCTCATCAAGCAACTTATTAATGCTTTTGCAAAGAGTTCTTCAAAGTATCTCCAAAATCTTTTTCTGAAACTAGTATCTTCGTCAGATCACAAACCAAAAAAATCATAGACAGTGACAAGTTTATCAAGCTCCTGAACAAGCCAGAGAGTGCAGCTTGGAACAGTTTTTTTACTCTTGGCTTCATGGGTAATCACAAAGCTAAAAATTATTTAGAGTTATTTCAGATTCTTGTTATTTTTTTACGCATTATGTATTATTATAATACTGCATAATATATGGCACAGACATAACTTTTTCAAAATGAAAGTTTAAAACTTTTTGAACTTATTATATTAGATTTTCATTTCAGTCAAGCTATATGCCACTATTAATTTTTATTTAAAGCAATATAGGTATTTTTTTTTTAATTCTACTACTTTTATTTTAGTAATTAATTTCATGTTGAAATAAAAAATAAGTGATTTTGTTTTTAAAAAAAAGCTGATACAAACTAATAAAACAAACTTATTTGAGCATGACCTTATGATGATAAGCATGGCCTTATTATAAGCATAGCTTTATAATAAGAATAGCTTATATGATTTAGTATACACAGTTTAAAGTTATGTTTAATATATGCAGGTTAAGCATAGTATTATGATAGGTCATGTTTAATATATGCAGTTTAAACATGATAGATTAAATTAAGATTATCTTTAATATATATCAAAACAGAATTAGAGCAATTTGCACTGCAGAAAAACTGAAAAATGCAGTTCCCTTACAATACTAATAAGTTTTATGGGAAATCTTTTAAAGGAGTAATAGGGTGAGGGAGGGGGTTAGAGAGTTCAAAATTTATCAAACCAATTTATAAACATATTTTTAAAATAAGTAAAAAACACTCTTAAAATTAAAAAACCTTGAGCCAATAAAGTAGTTTCAGGATCCAGTTTTAAATCATTTAATATTCTTTCACATACCTTAAAAAATAAAAAAACACTTAATCCAAATATTCATATACACTTTTACATTAATATTCCAAATATGCATCATATATTTGATACAAATATAAAAAAAAACATACAAAAATAAAAAATATACAAATATATATCTAACACAAATATAAACATACTTCTATAAAAGTGTCTCCAATAATCTTTCGTTTCTCCTCAGGATCAGTTACACTATGCAATGGTCCAACTTGAATATTCACTGTACCAGTTTCTGTCTTTTTAGGAATTCTTGTTGAAGAATGTAAAAAGTGATGTTTTTCATTATATACTGGAACAAAAAATATGACATTAAATAAAAAAATTGTATCATGGCATTAGAATTTACAGTTAAAACATGTATAACAGCCTAAAACAAGTGCAGATTTAGGGTCAATGACTGTCTACTTTTAAAAAAGAAGTGATCATTTAAAATTATGATTTTGAATTCTAAAAAATTTTGATTTTCAAGAATTGGAAGTCGATTTTATAACAATAAATTTAAAACATTTAAAAATAAAAGGTTAAAATTATTAAAATTGCACAATATAAATATGTTTTTGATTGGTGAAATAAACATCGGTTTTGATTGGTGAAATAAACATAGTTTTTGATTGGTGGAATAAACATAGTTTTAAGATCATTAGAGTCTTTATTTCGAAAGTTAATTAACTGTTAATGAATTTTTTTTGAATGAAATAAATTTGAAATGATAACTAGAAATTAACCAAAAATTTTCACATTACAATGAAAAAAATGAAAAAGAATTTTGATATTTAAAAATTTATGAAAAATAAACACTTTTTATATATTATAAAAAATACAATATATAAAAAGTGTTTATAATATATAAAAAATATAATATTTTTTATATATTTTGAACACTTTTTATATATTATATTTTTAATTGGTTTTATCACAGAAATTTAATAAAGCTATTTCAACAATGTGATAAATACCATATTTGTATGATTATGACATTTATCCCATTATTTAAACAGCTTAAATTATAAGCTAATAAAAAAGACTCATAAAAATATGTTTTTCATTGGCTTATAATTTTTTATGAACATAAAAAATCTGTTAAACTATATTGGATTTTATTGCAGAACTTAAGTGTAAATTAAATAATGTTTTCACTTTTATATTGTATTATATATACTAAATATCAGTTTCATTTTTACAAGTTTTCAAAAAAAATTGTTCAGTGTCACTTCACTTTTTTTTCCTTAGAAAATGTATTTATGGCTACTTAGCTAAATTTAAATAATTCAACATTACTACAAAAAATAAAATATTATATAATTATGCCAGTTTTTTTTTTTCAAAAGTTGATTTTTTCTTTTAAAAAAATGATGGTTTGATTGTTGCATTTAACTTTGATAGTTTAACTGATTTTAACTGAACAAACTGATGGTTTAACTGAACATTTAACTGATGGTTTGATTGTTGCATTTAACTTTGATGACAATACAAATTACTTTTTTGTATTGACAAATTTATACTTATTTAATGTTATAAAGTTGAATAATTTTTAATTGTTAGGTTTTCCTTTTTTTTTAAATCTGTTTATAAAAATAATAATAATAATAATAATAATAAAAAATTCTTTTTTATAAAATGAAGGAAAAAAAAAATTAATAATTATATTATTGATAATAAAATTTTTTCTAGACGAAAAGTTTTAAAATCATAAAAACATTTTTTAAGACGAAAAGTTTTAAACTCATAAAAACATTTTTATGATCTTGAAGCAAAAAGTTTGTTGGAAATAGTATAATTTAGTGAATACTTTTTTTCTTTTGCACTACACTTTCCTATGCAAAAAGGAGGTATAGGCCATTTATATAAAAATGTAGAAAAATTATATAAAAATCATAAGATCGTTAAGTAATGATATAAAAGTCTTGCTCATATTTGTTTTATTTTTAAAAATAAACTAATGTAGAAATGTAATAAAAAGAAGATTTAGAAAGTTAAAAACTATCCAGACATTTTTTTAAAATAAACTGCTTTAATAAAAAAAAAAAATCCAAAAATAATAATTATTTTTTTGGATTTTGCTGATTGGCAGTGAAAACAAAATATTTTTAAGAAGCCCATCAATAACTTTTGTACAGTTTCTATGTGAAAAATCAATCTAAAAGGAAAAAGTTTACAGTTGATAATTTTCTTACTAAATTCCTATTAACAATATCTATACCATTATTCTACATGCTGAAAATAAATTTGGGCACCAGAGAGAATTTTTTTTTTTTTTGCAACCACAGCTTTTAAGATTTTTGAAAACGTTTTAAAAAAGTCTAAAGTAATAAAGCGAGAAATTGCTTTTAAAAGTCTAAAGTAATAAAGCAAGAAATTGCTTTTAAAAGTCTAAAGTAATAAAGCGAGAAATTGCTTTTAAAAGTCTAAAGTAATAAAGCGAGAAATTGCTTTTAAAAGTCTAAAGTAATAAAGCGAGAAATTACTTTTAAAAGTCTAAAGTAATAAAGCAAGAAATTGCTTTTAAAAGTCTAAAGTAATAAAGCGAGAAATTGCTTTTAAAAGTCTAAAGTAATAAAGCAAGAAATTGCTTTTAAAGATTGTATATTTTAATAAAAGATATATTTAAATTATCAAAAGATATTATATTGTTAAAAAGTGTATTTTTTTTACGATGACTGTAAATGTTGTAAAAACAATTTGTGCAATTAATTTTATAAACAACAACAAAAATGATTATTTTAATAAACTTTTTATGAATCCATGTATTTAATTGTCAAAAACATAACAAAATTATTATTTTTGTTATGCTATGTAAACTTTCTAATAAAATTTGTTTATACTAAGCTTAACGCTTTTAAATAAAGTTTTAAAATGCTATAAAATAAATTATCATAGAATATTAAATAAAACTTTTATTTCAAAAGTGTTTTCTTTTAATGATGAATGTTATTTTTTTTAAGCAATTTGTATTCTTAATCAAAGACGACAATGAATGTGTTTTAATAAACTTTTTTTAAAAATACTTTTCGATAATTTAAATAAAGTTAGTTTTTTATTAAATGATAATTAGATAAAAGTTTCTTTTTATTTAAAATTGTTTGCCTAATTTTATAAAAACATTAGAAAAGATCAAAGTTTTATAGTTTGTTGTGTTGGTTTTGTATTAGGAGAATTTTAAAAAAATCTTTTAATTTTTTTAAATGTTTAATTAAAACTATTTATATATATTATTATATATTATTACTTTTTTATTTGTGTATGTATTCTTTTTTGATTGATATATAAAAATACATTAATAAATATAAAATATTTTTATTTAGACATTTAAAAAAAAAAGAAAAAAAGATTTATTTGCTATTCACCTAAAATAAAAAAATCAGTTAGGAACTCATCAAACCAATGCGACAAGTTATTCAACCTTAACATAATTACAAAACATAATTAAAGATAATTTTCTATTAGAGTTTTAGTTTTTCAGATATATATTGTTTAATTTTTTTTTAGAGCTATAGGTTTTAATTTTTTTTTAATTTCTCTTTTGTTAAGTCTTCTTTCTTTTTTATTTAGTATAGCCTGTTTATAATATTTTTTCTTTTTTGGTTTTATTCATGCCTTTTTTAATTTTCTAAAGAAAATTAAAAAAAGGGTGAATAAAACCGTGGTCAAACTTTCAAAAAAAATAAAAATAAGATTAGGCTGTGTTCGCACACCTTTCCTGTCCACGACTGGAGAATAAGAAATATGAAGATAGACAGTGAATAAGAAATATGAAGATATATTGTGAATAAGAAATATAACCTTTGGAATTAGAAAAATTGAGGTCGGCAATAATTTGCCCTCACCTCAATCTTTTAGAGGTCGGCAAAACCTCAAACACTTTTAGGTTGGCATTGCCGAATGCAGATATACAGTGAATAAGAAATATGAAGATATACTGTGAATAAGAAATATAAAGGTATACCATAAACCTTTAAAAAAAAAAAGAAATATGAAGAACATTACCGTGAAGCTTTAAACCATGATATTCATATAATTGCTTTACTTTTTCACTTTCATCTTTGCGTAAAAACCCATTATCAATGTGCACAGCAATAACCCTCTCAACACCAATAGCTTTTTGCAAAAGAATTGTACACACAGTAGAATCAACACCCCCACTTACTAAAGACTAAAGCAATAAAAAATGACAAACATTTTTTTTATATAACAGTAAAAAAGAATTTTTAAAAAAAGTTTAAACTATTTTTAGTTTTAGAGGAAATTTTTAGACATAAAAGAATTGACAACAAACTTATAAATTTAAAAAAAAAGAGTTATTTAAAAAAAAAAGATTTAAATGTACAGTTCTAACTTGATTTTGGAGATATGGCTTTTAAAAATATTGGTAATTCAAACACAAAATGAAATCTTACGCTAGGGGATCAATCCTACACCATAATTCAACTTGGTGTATTATGGCTCTGTAAAATAGTGTTTTATTGAATAAGAATTACAATTACAAAAAAAAAAAAAAATTATGGATTGATATGAACATACTTTTTGATTGCTGTTTAAAAATACTTTTGTATTGCTAATTGAACATACTTCTGGATTGCTGGAACACTTTTTATTTTTCATTATTTTTTAAATCAGGAAAGTGAATGAAACCATAAATATATTTATAATAGCTGATTAAATAGATTTATAATAGCTGATTAAATATATTTATAATAGCTGATTAAATATATTTATAATAGCTGATCAAGTGACTAAAAATTGTTAGTGAAAGCCAATATATTATCAATTTCATCAATTAGTGACAATTTTATTTTTTCACTTTTTAATTCAGTCATAAAAATTTATGTTTTTTGTCTTTTCCTTTTTATTAATGATATTTTTAGAAAGTATCATTAATAATATATCATTTCATTGATGACTTGTTGTGATTTAATGTAAGTACAACTTTTGTGTAAAAATATATTTTTTTCTACATAAGAAAATGTTTACTTTTTAATGAAAATTTGGACTAAAATTTGTCATGGAAGCAATTTTGTCATGGAAGCCATTATTAATTCTAATTTTTTAATTAATATTGCTCTTTCTCTACCTAAAAAAAAGTAATTTATCAAAATATTAATACATTACTTTCATTTCTTTTAGGTGGTTTTAACCAATGATCTTTATATATTCTAACCGTAATCACTTTCTTTCACTAAGGAGAGTGATTATGGTTGTGATAATAAGGTTGTTATTATGGTTGGCAGGCTTTAGATGAAGTTGCTATTACTAATTGTTATCATCTTTTTCTTATCTCTTTTAAGAAAAAATATCTTTTTATTATTGCAAGAAATCAATGCATAATTGTGCCATCTGATGCTAAGCTCTATTATTCTTATATTTTTCTGACAAATGAATTGCCATACTCTCATTCTATAGTTAATTGCTATAATAGAAAAGTTCATTAGGTGTGTATTAGATGGAGACAGTGAGGCAAGGGCTGTTGCTCCTGACCGATCTAAAGCTTTCGATAAGGTTAGACATGTTGGGACCCATAGCTTGTTTTATATGGTATATCTGGGAAAGCTTTTAAGATTATCAAATCATTTCTTTCTAACTGCTTTATTATAGTTGTCTTTGACAGATAACACATAAGGACAGCTCTTCTTCTTTAACAGTAACTTCTGGGGTACCACAAGGTTCCATCCTTGGTCCTGTATTGCTTCTTATCTGTATTAATCATCCTTCTGACAATCTTATATCTAAAGTGGCTCTATTTACTGATGGCACAATTATATATCAAACAATTATATATTCTTTGACAATCACCTAAAAACGTATTGTAAATGTAGTTGGATCTGCTTTAGCTGCCAAGCTTGAGGCTCTGTCAAATTCAATTAAGGATTTCTTTCTCTTTTCTTCAAATAGTATGTTCGTTGCTCAAACAAACTTTCTTGTTGAATCAAGCTTAACTAAACATCATATGATTCAGTAAAGTGTTATATGTTAAATTTTACATGAGTTATATGTTGAATTTTACAGTATCTGTTTGTTCATGCTCAAAAAATATTTATTCATCTTTTTTCCTTGCTCTTCACTGCTTTGAAATTCTAACTTATCTTCATGTTTTCCTGATTTATACAATTTACAGTTATCAAATTTTTCTGTCAACTTTTTTCTTGATTATTAAAAATATTTGCATTCTGGTAAACTCCCAACTTAAATAGTGGTCACTTGCAGCCTAGTTAGCAATAAATATGTCAAATTTAAAAATCTTTTATTTTTGTCTTATTTAGCCAAATACTTGTGATTTGAACAACTCACTCCACAACTGGATTTTAACTTTTACATTTTTTAATAAAGTTTTAATACTAATGATAAATTTGGATTTAATATAAGATTGTGTCAAAAAAATATTTTTTTAATAAAAAAATTTAATAACAAATGATTTTTTAAACACTTACTAACACATTATTTTTGCCTACAGCCTCTCTGATTTCATTCATACAGCTAGTTTGACGACATTGTAAAGTAAAGTTCTGTGTGCAACCTGCTATCTAAAAAAATTTGTTTAACCTAGACTGTTTTACTGTTAAATATGTAAAAGAGAAAATGCTGCAAATATATTTAAATGTGAAAAATAATTATAAGTGTGAATAGTAATTATATGAAAGTGTGAGTAGTAATTATATGTAAATATGAGTAGTAATTATATGTAAATATGAGTAGTAATTATATGTAAATATGAGTAGTAATTATATGTAAATATGAGTAGTAATTATATGTAAAAATGAGTAGTAATTATATGTAAATATGAGTAGTAATTATATGTAAATATGAGTAGTAATTATATGTAAATATGAGAATTTTAAAAATAATAAAAAACATAAAACTATAATATTATTATATTTATAAACATTACTTTTGTTAAAAAATTGAAAATAACAATTTTTCCATTGGTAGATAAATCAACTTCAGGATGAAATTGCACGCCATAAATTTTTTTAGCTTCATTTTCAATACCTGTAAAAAAAAATTCAATTTAAAACAGTCAGGAAATAAAATATAAACCATAGACAAATTAAATAAAATTCTACCAACGCAAATGTTCCCATGTGAAGCATTTTGACGATATTCTGGAGCTATTTCTACACATATGTCTTTGTGTGTAAGTAAAAAGTTCTCCTCTTCTGCAAGTCCTCTAATCAAAAACAAAATTATATTTAAATTGAGAAACAAAACTACAGAAACTGAAAAAAAAAATTTAAATTCACAAATGAAAATAACATTCAATGAAAACACAAATGAAAATAACATTAAATAAAAACACAAATGACAACAACATATATTAAAAACAAAAAAATTAAGTTTAAATTTTAAATTAAAAATTTTTCTTGAATTATTTTACATTAAAAAACATATAAACACATTTTCATAATGTAACTCATAACGATTACTTATAATGTGTTTACTTATAATGGTTTACTCATTACAATTGGTTATTTGGTAATTCATTGTGATTGGTTTTAACCAATTGTAACAAGTCATTTATTCCATGGTATGCTTAACATATTATGATAATACCATGGAATAAATAAGATTTTTTAGAAAAGTTTTAAAATAAAGTAATGAATATAAAAAGTTTTTTAATGTTTATTAAAAGATCATAAAAAATTTTGAACACCTAATAGAATAATTAATAAAAGAAAAACAGAAAAAATGAAACATATAAAAAAGCCTTTTTGAAAATTATACTCATATAAAAGAGATTTCTCAATCTTGACTCGAAATTGTCCATCTTCCCTGACTTCACCTGATACAACTCTACCACCAGTATCTCTATTTATCAGCTAAATATTAAAAAAAAAATTAACAGCATTTGATTTTTGTTTTTGAAATTATTAATATATCTATATATATCTATATATATCTATATATATCTATATATATCTATATATATATATATATATATATATATATATATACATATATATATATATATATATATATATATATATATATATATATATATATATATATATATATATATATATATATATATATATATATATATATATATATATATATATATATATATACCCTTATAGTGTAGTCGAAAGAGCGTTTTAATGTAAAAAAAGTCTCTTACGACTACAATTTTAATTACCTCGTCTCTTAAGCTGTTTTTGATTGTCATCGAAATGTCAAAGCAATTAATTTATGCGGAAGTACATTAAATTTAATTGTTTTTTAAAAATTTTTTAAAAAACCGCAATTATAACGACTAGAAAGTTTTTTTTAATTAGTGGTGTTTTTGTTATTGATTTAATAAAAAAACATTTTTAAAACATGCGTAAATGTTGCTACATCGACTATCTTATAGCCTGACTCGCAACGGAGTGCTGCTACATCAACTGACAAATAGCCTGACTCGCAACGGAGTGCTGCTACATCGACTGACAAATAGCCTGACTCGCAAGGGAATGCTGCTACATCGACTGACAAATAGCCTGACTCGCAAGGGAGTGCTGCTACAACGACTGACAAATAGCCTGACTCGCAAGAGAGTGCTGCTACATCGACTGAGGGTTTGGTTTGGCCAGGCAGTCTATCAATTAAAAAAAAAATTTAATTTTTAAATTTTTAAAACTTTTTCTGGTCTGGTTTATTAACGCGCTCTTTAAAACTACAGTTTATGGGAAATTTTTTTTGATGCCACGCAAGAGACATGCAAGAGTATATATATATATATATATATATATATATATATATATATATATATATATATATATATATATATATATATATATATATATATATAAATGTTTTCAACATTTGGCTGAGGGTTGCAAGGCTAAACAATTTAAAAGTTAACGACTTTTAAATAAAATAATAATTTAAAAAAATCTTTTAAACAAGACAACTTAAAAAATAGAATTAAGTTTTTATTGTTTAATAAATGTTTAGTTTTCAGTTTTTATGTCTCAACATTGTCACATGTCTTAAGGACAACAAATCGAAAAAAAAATCGATTTATCTCAATCCTAAAGCAAAATTGACCCAAGTTATTTTTTTTTGACATTTTGAGATAATCACAAAAAACTATTTTTTAAAAGCAAACTTGTTAAAATCCAACATAAATTAGGTTCTATTATCACACATTATGTGATAATAGAACATAATTTATTTTATCACATATTATGACATAATATGTGATAATAGAACCTAATTTATTTTATCACAATTTATGACATAATATGTGATAATAGAACCTAATTTATTTTATCACATTTTATGACATAATATGTGATAATAGAACCTAATTTATTTTATCGCATTTTATGACATAATGCGATAATAGAACCTTGTGTTAATTTGTGTTTGAAATTTATAAATATAATTTAGAGATTATTTGCATAAAAAATAAAAAATAAATTACTTTAAGTTAAAAAATATTTTAACATATAAAACCTATTCACATACATTTTTTTTTGTGTATGTATAAGGATTTCTCAATTTTATTGTTTATAATAAAAAAAATTTTTCTATATAAACTTTTTTTAAATTTATATAGTTGCTTTATATGCTTACATTAAAAAAAGATTCTTTTTTACCCAATGAATTGTTTTTTTTTGTTTATAACATTTTATTAAAATTTTATTTTTATTCACCTCACTAGAACAGCAAGAGGCACTACACTCAAGGAGGCTACTCCTTTCTATTTGCCTCACTAAGACAGCAGGAGGCACTACACTCAAGGAGGCTACTCCTTTCTATTCGCCTCACTAAGACAGCAAGAAGTATTTAACTCAAAAAAGCTACTCCTTTTTTTTTCTTTTAATTGCTGTCTTCATCCCTTTAACTCAGAAATACAAATCTCAACAAGTAGAAACTAACAAGTAGAAAATAAGATTTTTATTAATAATAATATTTAGATTAAGTAGGCATTATATAGAAAATTAAATAAGATAAAAAAATTATATAATATTATATGAAGTATTATAGAAAATTTTAATTTCCAAAAGTTAGAAGTTTTTCTTTCAAAAGTAAGAAGTTTTTCTTTCAAAAGTTTCGAAGTTTTTCTTTCAAAAGTTTCGAAGTTTTTCTTTCAAAAGTTTCGAAGTTTTTCTTTCAAAAGTAAGAAGTTTTTCTTTCAAAAGTAAGAAGTTTTTCTTTCAAAAGTTTCGAAGTTTTTCTTTCAAAAGTAAGAAGTTTTTCTTTCAAAAGTTTCGAAGTTTTTCTTCCAAAAGTTTCGAAGTTTTTCTTTCAAAAGTAAGAAGTTTTTCTTTCAAAAGTAAGAAGTTTTTCTTCCAAAAGTAAGAAGTTTTTCTTTCAAAAGTAAGAAGTTTTTCTTTCAAAAGTTTCGAAGTTTTTCTTTCAAAAGTTTCGAAGTTTTTCTTTCAAAAGTAAGAAGTTTTTCTTTCAAAAGTAAGAAGTTTTTCTTTCAAAAGTAAGAAGTTTTTCTTTCAAAAGTTTCAAAGTTTTTCTTTCAAAAGTTTCGAAGTTTTTCTTTCAAAAGTAAGAAGTTTTTCTTTCAAAAGTAAGAAGTTTTTCTTTCAAAAGTAAGAAGTTTTTCTTTCAAAAGTAAGAAGTTTTTCTTTCAAAAGTAAGAAGTTTTTCTTTCAAAAGTAAGAAGTTTTTCTTTCAAAAGTAAGAAGTTTTTCTTTCAAAAGTTTCGAAGTTTTTCTTCCAAAAGTTTCGAAGTTTTTCTTTCAAAAGTAAGAAGTTTTTCTTTCAAAAGTAAGAAGTTTTTCTTTCAAAAGTAAGAAGTTTTTCTTTCAAAAGTTTCGAAGTTTTTCTTTCAAAAGTTTCGAAGTTTTTCTTTCAAAAGAAGTTTTTGTTTTGTAGCACTAAAGTAAAACATCAAACAAAATAAAAGATACAAAAAATAAAATATACACAAAAAGTAAAATATATTCAAAAAAATGTTGTTATTATTGAGTCATAACATTAGAAGTGCAAATAATTTTCTAGATATTTTTTTTTATAGAATATTTTACAACTTCTTTAGAAAATTGCTATAAAAAATCTCTTTATATAACTTTTTCATAAAGGAATGTACTTGTAACAGATCAATATTGATGACAGACATTGATCTATATTTCTTCCCTACATAATTCAATAAAGTTGCTTCAGAAATGTAATGTACAAAAAATCGTTTTACATTCTAAAATTGTTTTCTTAAAGAATAAAAATAAATTTCTTAATAAAAACTCAACAATAATAATAAAAATATTGTTAAAGTGACATACCTGCATTCCATAGCATATTCCTAAAATTGGTATTCCAGAGTTCAATATTGAGGCATCCCAATTCGGAGCATTTTCCTCAAAAACACTTCCTGGCCCACCAGAAATTATCACAGCCCTAAAGTAAAAAATTTAGGATATAAATGTAAACAAGACAAACATAATAATAAAAAGTTGTTAAAATAATAGTGTTTATTTAATGTATTACTTAAGTAGTATAAAATATAGATAAAAAAGATAAAATTCAGATAAAAAACTGATATCAGTCTGTTTTTATTTAAAGACAATTAAAATGTAAAATTGACAGGTTAAAATACAATATATTGAATTCATAATACAAAATGGGGTAAACTAAGGGTGCATAGATGGACAACATGAAAATTGACTCAAATGTCTACTTTAAGAAAATATAATAGTTTTAGTTTGTTATTTAGCATTTTATAACATGACTAATTTATAAAATAATTAAAATAATAAAAAAAAAAAAAATTAATAAAAAATTTAATGAGTTTTAAGACGTTTTAAGTTGTTGTTTTTTTGGTGTTTTTTCTGTTTATAATTGCAAATTAAATAACCAAGTTCTAAAATGGCGTGAAACAAAAGTTTTTTTAATAATATAAAAATACAGATCTAGTTTGCATATAGAGACTAATATGCGTGTTACTTCTTCATTGTGTGTATTACTACATTCTATTTCATTCTACAAAATGAAAAATGTACATAATTCAATGCAGTAAAGAAAGATGCAACACAAAATATTAGATTTTCGACCAAATCAGAGAAATCAAAAGGTTAAAAATTAATTGAGTGCTTTCTAAACTATAAATAAATTTTAACAATCAATTTTTTTGTTTTGTTTTAAACAACTTGCAACAAGACTGCAAGTAACCACTATTAAATTAGAAGTCAACAGAAAACAAAGATATTTGAACAGCAAGAAAGTGATTGACAAAAGACAAAAATTAATGGCTTTGCTTGTCAAACTCCTTATTGATTTATTACTAAATGCTTAAATCTGTCATGCTTAAATCTGTCATGCTTAAATCTGTCATGCTCAAATCTTTCATACAAAAGAGTTAAGCGTGTAGTATAATGTAAAAAGACTTATTAAATAAAGAGTAATGAAGAGAATTCTGGACTGTAGAGTTTAGTGAGTGGAAATTATTTTTAGCAACAAAAGCAGGATGATTTGGATGTCTTACAATAGATTACCCTGTTTCATTGGGGTGACAGGAAGAGTATGGAATTAGATTGAAGAAACAAGATAAAGGAAAAGTTCTTTGCAAATAGTTTAGCCTTTTCCTTGGGAGAGGTAATAAGAAAAAAAGAAATCAGTGTAATTAAAAATGTTGCTCTTGTGGGAAAGATAAAAAAAGTGACTATAATTAGAAATATATGCTTCATAAAAAGAAAAGTAGTAAAGTGAGAATTAAAACTAATAAAATAGAAAGCTTCTATCCCTGCCTTAATCCAAGAGATTACAAAGAAGGCTCAACAGAAAGATGAAAGACATCAGCCCAAGAAATATAACAAAGAAAATCATGAAACAAATCTCAATCAGTCTGAAGGTAATAAGAAGTAAAATGTATGTAAAATCTAATGTAGAAAAAGGAGGAGATAAAATTTTTAATGAGATCATAGTGGTCATGAACATGGTCAAACATGAGGTGAATCTGATGTAGAAAAATCACGAGAGCTTTAGAATAGGATGATCTTAAACAAATAGACTATGCATAAGCTATGGTTAGAAATAAAACAAAATCAAGATGTAAACTTTAATGAAGTCATAAAAATAATAAAAATAAATAATCACGCTTCTCAAGGCTTACTGTGTTACATTGACCTTGTGATGATACAATAATGCTCTGTGTAACACAACTTCTTGGTTGGATGGGGACTGTATTGATGTAAAGAAATACTTGTTGTATTTCCCTTCTTGTATTGATATTTTTTGATAAAACACTTTGATAAAACTCACTTCGATAAACTGTCTTGATAATACTGACTGATTGACTCCCATATCAGGCTTGGACAGGAATGGCGTGCGATCGAGCGCTATTGACCACGCAAATTATTTTATTTTTAGACAACTTGACCACTATTGTTTATATGACAAACATTCCAGAAATGCACTGAATGTAGAAACGCGAAGCCAAACTTAAACTTGGAAAAAAAGTTAAAAAAAAAACAAATGAAAAAAACTTCTTAACAAAAAAAGAAAGGACAAAAAAAATTACGAAAAAGAAATTATATAAGCACAAAAGTAAAAATAAAAAATTAAACTCGAAACATTTTGTTGCGTATTTAATTACGTTTGAAATAAATGTTATTAATACTTATTTTTTTAAATGTTTTATTAAAGTTACGCAAAACGCTTTTAAATCGCTTTTCTAATGATTGTTTATTAAATAGTTAAATTTTATCAAATTTATTAAAAAGTGTTGTATATAATATTTTTAAATAGTATCAACATTTATTTTTTCAAAAAAAGTGCAACAACAAAAAAAAACTGTTTAAAAAAATATCGCAGTCTTTATTAAATAGTAATTTTTAATAATTTCATGCTCTAATTAGTGAGTTTAGTTAAAAAAAAGGTTTTAACTTTTTTATTCGTTAAAATAGGGAGAAAAAAAAATGCGCCTGCGACTTAATTAAAATAAATTGTCAACTAGCAATTTAATTTCATTTTAAATACAACTTTATTAATAAGCACTTTATGTAATAAATTTAAAAGTTATTATTAAGGAATAAAACTCATTCATTCCATTCTTAATAAAAAAAATATATATATATGTTTTTTAAAAGATTTTTATTAAATAATATTAAAATTTTTATATAACATTTTTTATTAAGTAACACATGCGTTTATGTAAACAATCAATATATTAATTTTACGGATTTATTTAAAGCCTTGGCGTAAAATAAAAACTTTAGAAAAAATCAGTGATTAAAAGTTATTCATAACGCAACACTTTTTTAATTGCATTTAAATTGTTTAAACATCAAAATAGCCATGGTCAAGTTGTAAAGAAAAAACAATATTAGCGTGGAGAGCTACAGAGTACGATCGCACGCCATTTCTGTCCAAGCCTACCATATACTGACTGAATTACATGTCGATTTACATGCCTCTTATATAGTAAAATGAACCTGTGTGAACCTGTTCTGGAAGATTCTAGATGCTTCTTTTTGATGCTTCTAGAAGTTTCTGGATGCATCTGGATGCTTTTGAATATTTCTGGATACTTCTGGATGCTTCCAGATGCTTCTTTTGGAAGCTTCTGCATGCTTCTGGAAACTTCTGGAAACTTCTGGATACTTCGTTTAATTATTAAAAAACTTTCGTGACGTTGACACGGACCAGACTTAAGAAAATGAAACAAACTAAAAAAGTTGCACTTGTTTTGTCCGCTGCAAAATGGCACTTGTAATTCTGCCTGTGTGCTGTCACCAGTCAGCTTATTGCTCATGTCATGGCATGCTATGACTTCTGACTCCTCAACTGTTTGCTGTGGTAGTATAGTTCGTTTCGTTTTTAAGACATGTAAAATTAGGAACACTTTTTAGCATTGTTCGATGTTGGTTGCAAATGTTTTGTCCAATACTGTAAATATAACCACATAAATGTAATGCAAAAAAAATCTTAAATATTTAAAAGTTTCAAGTTCATTAGCTTGTATATTTCTTGCACTGAAAGTTGTTAAACCTATAAAACTTGAAACTGTTAGCAGAGTTCACCCACTGACAAAACATTTTTATGTAACATGTTCTTCAAAATAAAGCCTTTAAATCATGTCGTGTAGTTCTGGTGAAGAAGATATCTAGTTTGCAAATGTTGGAATTTGTTGCAATATTGCACAAAAAATTTAGAACGAAAAAAAAATAATAATAATAAATCTGGATGCTAGAAATTTAATTGACCTAATTAGTTAAGAAAAGGATATTCAACAGTAAACCTGTATTAACTTAAGAATAGGATATCCAACAGTAAACCTGTATTAACTTATTTAATGAGAAAGAAAAATATAATTATCTTAAGAGCCAATTTCTGAGAAAAAGTACAGTTGGCTCAAATGCTTCAATCATGCTCAATTTTTTAAATAGTGCTGATAGGGTAAAAAAGAGCCTCGTAATTTTTTTCTTTTAATATTTGTAGTTTCTGAGTTATGGTCAGTCAAATTTTTGACCTTTTAACACTTGAAAAGTCATTATTGGGATTTTGGGATTTTTAAATTAAATTTAAAGACAGTTTCTTTTATATTAAAGAACTATATATAGAACTTTTGAAGAAAATTTCAAAAAAACTGAGAAAAATCTTTTCTTAGTCTAAAAATCATAAGCTGAAATCATACATTTTTGAATTTGGGGCCTACTTTAAATACATTTATCTCAAGACATAAAAGGTTCCTGCAGGATATGTTATTGTTTTGGTTTAGAAAAAAATTGAGGGGGTATTGCTTACAAAAATACTTATGAGTCATCAAACCGTCAAAAAATGTTTTAAGTAGCGTTCACAAATCAGTCATTATGAGAAATGAGAAAAATTGAAGATTGAATGTATATATTTTCTATAACTCCATAATACTTATAATTCAAAAAAAACTTGGTGGGTAATATCACATTGCTGAAATAACTCCACTACAAAAAGTTAAACTTTTTGTATATTAAAAATAAACACAGCAAAATTACTCAATAAGTTATTTGTCTTTATCTTAATATGTGATTGTTTGAGTCAGTGACATAAATAAGATTTTTAATACTTTAGAAAATACACTTTCAAGCATTATGCAAACTCCAAACTTAAGTATATTCATACTTATGTCAAATAAGAATGCTTTACAATTAATTGTGGTAGACACCATGATATGCTTTCAGTTTTTGCCTTGTAATAATTTTTTTAATACATTTTTTTTTGGTGATTAGTTTAATTTGTAGAACAAGTTTATACCTACAAAATTAAATTTATTAATTACCAAAATATAACAGGTTAAACTTGTGAGACAACTTAAAGTAAAATTTTAAATTTGATTTTGAACCCATGGGTGGGAAACCATATTTTTAAATATCTAGAGTCATTCTCTGAGAGATTTATGTAAATATAATACTAGAAGAATTTCA